CACACACACACACACACACACACACACACACACACACACACACATACAGAGACGTGATCATCCTCACAGTCAAGTAACAATTTGGGGGAATCATAAACAACAGGAAATACTTCTTATTATCCGAAGTCTATCCAAAGGGTTATCTTCCAGATTTGCATCACAGTTCTTAGTGTGTCGACAGTTATGTGATTATATTTTTTTCCCCCACCATCGTGAGAAATAAACAAGTCGTCTATAAGAAATACAGATAAAGTGCAAATTTGGCTTCTGTTCAAACAGCAAGCCGAACGGTCAGAGACAAATCTGGGAGGGGAGTCTGAATAAACAGCCACAAACAGAGGCGTCTTTCTTTCTGTCCTTCTACAGTGTCACAGTCAGAGATGGAGAACTCTGACCGTGAGTTGTTCTGATAAAGGCACGAGTGTTTTGAGGGGCAATCAACCAAAAAAAACATCTGGGCAGAAAGATCAACACTGCATGCTTCCCGGGCAGAACCCAGAGAAAAACTAAAAAACAAAACACTGTTCTCCTATGAGATGCTTCACAGATATGAGACAAAGAACATCWATTACAACACACACATCTCACCAGAACTAAAATTCTAACCAGTGAATAAAGTTCAGCTTCCTGCACAACGTGATATTGCTATTTTCATTTTGTTTCATTTTTCTCTTTTTCTAGAAAAGTAAAAAACAAGAATACACCCATGGTCCTGATAGTAACATCTAAAGATAGCAACAAAAGGTGTAGCATTAGGATTTGGTGGCAGCAGGGAGCATTTTGTTTTTCTTGTTTTGTATGAAAATGGTAGCTGACCACTGTGCTACATCTTGAGACAGCATTCAAAGTGAAAAGTCAGTAGTGTATCTTTGATAGATCGTCCATCTCTTGTGCTGTTCGCTCTTTGGTAAAACCCAAAATTCTTCCTCTCTGCAGAAATAAAATACAGGCATGCTGCAGGAAGAAGCAGCTTTTTTTGAAATGCCTTCCTCTAAAAGTCACTACAGTGTCATTACTGTGGTACCTTTAGCTAGCTCGAAATCAAATACATTAAAGACAAAAAAAATAAAAATAAACACAGAAACCTCAGGCAAAATACACATATTTCTGACCATTTGAGACACGCCATTCCATTGTGTTTCCAGGTAAATTATTGCACTGTTCCCACAATCTTTGTTTTGTCCATCAGCTGAATGTTTGTTTCTTTTTCCTGCATCAGGGTCCAAACTGCTGCCTCGTTGCCTGAGGAGGTAGTAGAAGCATCAAAGACTAAAAGGATCCCCACTCTCACGGTGCTACCGTGTTGACTGGTGTACCTGTTGTGCTTTGCTCAAAAGAACTCCGTTTTGGCTGATTCAGGATGTAGCAGTTCGTTCTGTAGCTTGAGGTAAAAGAAGCTTTTGCGACGCTAAAAAAAAATCGRATCAAATTGTCACAGTTTCATTACAACTTCAAATCCTTTGTTTWGTAAGCGCAGGGCACTACTGCACGTTGGTTGCACTGCTACAGAGAAATGTCTCCTTAGGAAGGCGAACGAAGTGGGAAACCTTTGCTTTTGTTTTTACAAAGAAACAATTTGGTCTTCTGGAAAAACATAAATTGAAAATGTTTTCTTAGACAGCATCCAAACGTGAATCAAACGCCAACTTTCCTTCAACTGAGTCMATTTGAACGCTTGAAGAGTCAATTATTGCTTCTCTCGGAAACAAACTTCATCCAGAGTTTGGTTATTGCTGAGTCTTTAGCTTATATGATCTCAAAAAACATCCAGCACACATTCTGTGTACCTCCTAGTGAATATTGTTTCAATTTGTTGCTTGCATCAGCGTTTTTTTTTTTTTTTTGTTTTGTTTTGTTTCTCCTGCTCAGAGTTGTGCTCTTTCCTCCTGCTCATTTACTTCACCATCACACAGCTGCTGAGCTGCTGCTGCCCTGCCAGGCCCAGCTCCTGCAGGTTGGGATCCATGGCGGGGGCCGACGCCCTGCTCCACATGGTCAGCTTCGAAGGGGTGGGGAAGGGGAGCTGTGTGGCAGACTGAGGCTGCTGCGGAGGGCCGGCGTACGAGGAGTGYGGGCGAGGCTGTTGGCTGATGTGCAGGCGCGCCTCGAGAAGATAGGCAGCGGAGGCCACGGGGGACAGGGAGGAGGTGTAGCAGGCCGAGGAGGGCGAGGAGCAGCTGGAGTAGGACGGCTCGAGCGTTTGGTGCCAGGGGCCAGGGGAGGCCTGCTGAGGGGGCAGGGCGGCCTGGGCGGGGGCGTCAAAGATGGAGGCGGGGGCAAAGACGGAGGTCGGCGAAGGAGAGGACGGCTGGGTCAGGAAGAGCAGAGGATTCTGGGTCAGTCCTGTTTGGGTGGTTTGGACCTGAGGCTGTGGTTGGTGCTGAATCTGCAGCATTCTGAAAACAAACACGTTATAAGTCTGTATTCCCCCCTGATAGCAACTTTTAACACCTTTAATCTGCGTGATATAATCTGTGGSCTGTAATGACAGCGTGTCTCACCTCTGCTGGTGCAGCACCTCCTCCAGCATGCTGCGGTGCTCGGAGAAGGCCGGGCCGAGCGAGCCTCGGCTGCCGCGGTTGCAGGAGGGGGGAGGAACAACCTGCCTGGTCAAACCCTTAATCTTATTTAATCCCAGCAGCCCTTTCGTGCGCGTGTTTTTCCTTAGCTGTTGGCGGAAAGCTTTGAGGCCTGCCGAGGAAAGTGATGAGCAAAATGTTACTCTTTGGTTTCTTTAACGCGACCCGTTTCAAACAAACAGATTAGATATTACGGATAGGGGGGTGGGGGGGTGATATTTTGGGACMGTGCTCCTGTACCTTGGGTGAGGGACGTGTCTGAGGCTCTGCGACCCTCTTGGAAGCTGGCGGCTGGCAGGCTGCTCTGTGCCGGCGGCAGGAGGTGGGAGGAGAGATTCAGAGGAGCTCCAGCAGGCTGAAGAGCTCCGCCTCCTGCCCTCGAGGCCAGAATGGTTGACATCTCCCCCACGGCCGCTCGTAAAGTGGGCGCAGGACTAGAGGAGGACTTCAGGCAGCTGTCAGAAGAGGCTCCGTCTGACGGACTAACCACAATACCTAGAAGAACAGCACAGAGCAGATTTTAGCTCCGTTCTCACGGGCAGAGTGAACGTTCTGTTGGTGCCACTCGTACTCACATGGAGGGTTGCACTGGTGGAAACGGGCGGAGACCTCAGCCAGAGTGTGTCTGCGGGAGGTGGTGGGTGGAAGCAGGGGCCCGAGAGTCTGCGTGGCCTCCTCTTCCTCCAGGTCCCTGGGRCGCACCTCCTCGCTGATGCTCGTCTCCAGAAGACTGTTGGGAGAGATGGAGCGGTTCCAGAGCAGTCTGTTCAGGCTGGCCTCCACTGGGAACACCACCCGCTGAGGAACAGACGCAGAAGCATGGTTGGTTCTGAACCAATGTGAAAGCAGCACGCAGAAAACTCCTGAATCTATGAGTTCAGTTTGTTACCTGGAACAGTCCACTTTGGTCACACTCCACTTCAGAGTACACAGGTGGAGGAGTGCWTTTGGCTGGAAGTGAAAACGTTGTTCTAAAGCTCTCGCTGGACTCCATGATCACCTAAAGGCAAGCAAAGAGAGTCGCGCACTTTAGACTTCAAGCTGAGAGTCGGACCGAGACTCGTTTGAGCTTCCGAGGTGTGGCCGGGTGCTGACCTCTGGGGCGGTGGAGTCGGAGGTGCTCCGGGGTCTCTGGTTCCAGGCCCCACACTGACGGCTGAGCTGCTGTGCGCGATGCTCCCGCACCCTCTCCAGCAGCAGGTAGTAGATGGCAGAGAAGTGATTGTAGCTGCTGCTCTGCAGAGACTGAGGAAAAAGAAACAATCAGTTATTAACATTTCTAAAAAAATAAATAAATAAACGTCTGGATGTTAATGTTTTTTTTCTCCTCGTTACCTCAATGGTCCGCTGCCGATCGATGCCTAGTGTGTTCATGATGCTCAGCACAGGTTCGCTGTAGTCGCCCAGGTTGGAGTTGTACTCTGTGAGGGAATGGCTGAGGGTCTGCTGGGCGGCTGTGGGGTCTGATATCATCCACCGGTGCTGCTTGATCTGGGCCACCGTTATCCTTCTGGCTGGATCCACCACCAGCATCTTACGGATCAGGTTTTCACAGTCTGCTCGAAGATCAAACATCTGATAAGTCTCTGTTCGATAATGTGTCATTTTTGACAATTATTCCTCAGGATAATGAATGGATACCTTGCGACATGAAGAAGGGGATTCGGAACCGTCCTTCGGTAACTCTCTGTCTGAGTGCAGGAAGGCTCGGTCCGTCAAATGGGAGGGAGCCGCAGACGAGAACATAAAGCACCACGCCAAGACTCTGAAGAGAAGAAGCAAAACGAGAACATAAGCTCGAGTTACCCTCACTTTTATGCAATCTTCTTAGATAAAGGTTTCTGTCGCAGGCTTACCCAGATGTCCAGCTGAGGCCCCTCGTACTCTTTCCCCTCAAACACTTCCGGGGCAGCGTAAGGCGGGCTGCCGCACCAGGTGGACAGAGGMTCCCCTGCTTTGTAGAAGTTCCCAAATCCAAAGTCTGCAAGACAAAGACGCACACAGGTTTGGTGATTCAAGCTCCTTTAATTGCAAATGCATCAACATTCATGTCTGTCTTTGTCACTTTTATGTTCTGAAGGGACACACTTAATGGAAAGAGTGTGTGTTCCCGTGCACAACTCGCTCCCTCAGGCTCATATTAGTCTTGGTAAAACAAGTGAATTATTAACATTTAATGAGCACACAGACAGGACATTGATTTAATTAGGGCTGTTTAGGAACCCCCAAAGCAGCACACACTTCCTTCAAATCAATTAACTCTCTCTCTCTCTCTGTGTGTGTGTCACGTTTCTACAACCGCTTTCCTACAACGCTAAATGAGCTAGATGAAAACCCACCGGCCAGCTTGATGTTCATGTTGGCGTCCAGCAAAAGGTTCTCGGTTTTGAGGTCGCGGTGGACGATGTGGTGCCGGTGGCAGTAGTCCACCGCCGTGAGGATCTGCCAGAACTTCTTCCTCGCCTCCGTTTCGCTCATGCGGCCGTTTGAGGTCAGGTGGTCTGCGGGGAGGGAGGGTATTTTAGTTTGAGGGGCAAAGGGGGGCTCGTGTCTCTCTGAGCGTGCCATCGGATCTGGATCACCAGATTTAGCAGCGTTTGAACTCACCGAACATCTCTCCGTTTTTTGCATACTCTGTGACRATGTACAGCATGTCTTTGGTCTCCATGACCTAAAAATACAAAAAAAAGAATCGCATGAGACATTTTCAAACCACTAAAACTTCTTTTTTTTAACTTCTCTATTCCAGTAGTTAAAATTAAATGCACATATTTCCAGCATGTGTTCTGTTGCACAAGGTAGCTTACTTCCTGTATGCGTTTTTATCATGTTTAGCAAACTGTCCACATCAGCCCGAACCTTATAAGGAAAAAGGTTCACGTTCACACACACCAGCTGGTTAAATAGTTGGGAGTGTTTGCCTGAGGCCGGTACTTGTTGGCAACAGATACCAGTGTTGAATTTCAAATATCCTACATATCCCTACGTCAAACAAAATGTCCAGGCCGCTAACACGAGCCGCGCCTTTTGTAATAAAAACAGCGTACGTGCCGTGAATCAACACTGAGCACAATTTGTCTGACAGGAAAAATGAAAGTCTTTTTTCCTGGAGCTCTACAGAAGAAGGCCTCCCATTTCCTATAAGGCCTCAGGGGGTGCAGCAGTTGGGTTATAAAGGTTGCACAACAATGCAATTTTCATCGGATGACAAAAGCCTGTGTGGATGACACTGCAGTGTCGGCTCTAACTTGAATGTCACCAAATTCCAGTGAATGGGAGAGCTTTATTCTTTTCAGCCACCGAGTTCCTTTAGAGAACCGAGGGAGTGKGATTCAACAGTTCAATGGTCTTTATCTGCGAGATAGAGCCGCTCTCTGGAGCTCAGACACCTTGAGGCGGTGCTAACGTCACAACTAGGAAGAACAGACATCGCGGATAAAAGGGGCCCTCGAGCCATTTACCCTTCAGCTTTAATATTTTATCTCCTAGTTTGTTTAAAACAGCTGCAAAGGAAAAGAGGTGCCATGTAGTTTGTGATTTTGAACTAATTTCGCCTTTGCTATAAAGCAGATAAAATTGCCTCACTGGTGGATCTCTTTTAAAATGATTAAAATGAAACTTGCACAAATATGCAAGAAAAATGCCTTTTGTTCACAAGAAACCAGTGACTAAGTAGATCAGATTGGCGGTCTTAGAGGAATTCTAAAAAACAAATAAACACTRTCACAAGACAGTCTTATGCCGCTTTCCCTAATTTGCATGAAGTGAAGAAAATACTTTTTGAAGCATCACTAAACTAAAGACATAAAGTGGACCACAAACAGGTTAAACACTAAGCTTACAACCAGTTTAAGGGTGAATGAACGTAATTATAGTGAATTAAACATTAGTGGTTTCATCAGTCATGGTGAGTAACGTTCTGCTGCACTTGATTTGCATAATTTCTTGTCCGTGACGGAGAGAGTACGAGTTGCCAATCAGGGTTAGACAATGCATCGGGTGAGGTATGAAGCCAAAGATGGTCAAAGCTTTTGTTTGGGTTTCAAAGGACTTTAATTGGCTCGTTACGTGTCCAACTTTTACTGCACGTTYAAACGTTGCCGTCTCTGTGCAGCCTGGTGTGTGTTTGTGTGTCAGATTAAGCAAAGARGCTTTCAGTGATGTTCCTTATCACTTCCTTAGTTCTGGCAGTGAAGGAAAAAGAAAAAGAAATATCGATTCACTCGTATAAAAAAAGCAGCCATTAACTCGTTTAGTCTCCTGAAACGCAGACAMACTGCCTATATTAAATCAGATGTGAGCAGATAATATTTCTATCATTTTAAAAACATATTTGTCAGAAACTTTAACATTATTTACCTAATGCTTGCTTTAGCTTTGCTTTTGACCATCAYTGTCTGCATATGAGGGCTTTCCAGATATATGTCATGACCTTATTTTTTGCATCGCAGACACTAAGAGCTGTTSAGATGCTTAATAGCGAGACAAAAGTAATCCTTAAAATGCAGTAAAGAAAGGAGACATTGTTTGTTGTTCGTTGGCATGCTTGCTGCCAGATGTGTGCCAAGGCACTTGCAAGGTCAGCTGAGTCGGTGAAAGCGGATTCTTCCCTCTTAAGTCTTCAATTTGATTAGGAGTAAAGCAGTGCTTTGTGGAGCGGCCTTCACGTGACGGACAGACACATTGCACTTGGCTTTAACAGGTGCTAATAAGGCTTAACGCTCTAATGCTGCGCACACTTCCCTCACCTAGCCCTGCRGTCACCTCTCCCATCATACATGACTGGAAACATACTCAACGTGCATCGTCCCCGCTGTGAGCAACAGTGCCCAAAAATGCCCCACACCTCTCTGTATCGCTTAAAGACGGCGATAAAGACAAAGGGAGAGGGAGGGTGAGATAATGCTGCCGTGCTGTAATTGTGATTTAGTGGTCTCACAARATGGCAAAACCCTCTGAAATACTAAAATCTCCTCCCGGGTTCCCCTCACACGCTTTGTTGCAGGGCAGCAATGCACCAATGTGCTGCTCTCCACATAAAGGACATTAAAACACACATCTAACAACCTCCAAAGAGACGCCAAAAAAAAAAAAAAGAAAGAAGAAAAAACCCACCTGGTAGAGTTTGATTATATGCGGGTGGTTCAGCAGCTTCATGATCTGCACTTCTCTGTAAATCTTCTCCAGGTTGGAGGGGTTCAGCCTGGTCTTGTCTATAATCTTTATTGCCACCTAAACAAAGGAATACAAAATGAATGAAATGCTTCGCGTGCTAAATGAAAAATTAAAAAGTGTCAATCCAGAGCAGCAGATGAGGATTCTGACCTGGGTTTTGGTGACTTTGTGTCTGGCCAGCTTCACCACTGCAAAGTTTCCTTTCCCCAGGGTGCGGATGATCTCATAGAAGCCGACCTGCAGTGGCCTCCCCTGGGCAGGAGGAGGAGGAGGAGGCTGGGCGCTCCTGCTGGTGTCTGTCATGATCACCATGGTGCATGGACTGCTGGAACAGCACTGGGATGAATGAAGGCTTGTACCTGGAGAGACCGGCAGGTGGATACTTTATATCTCTCTTATCACAGCCATTATTACAGTGGTATCATTAAATCAACCAGTACAGTCTGAAAAACAGGAAAAGTATTTAAAAAGTCTTGAAAATGAAGGATTTAATGTGTATTTCATTGTTAAATAATGTTTTTACAATAGGAACTTTTTTTTCTGAGTGAAAGTAACAGAAAAAAGACAAATATAACCGGTTCGAAAACCCGGAAACTATTTTTGTTTGTTTAGGAATAGTAAAAATAAATAAGAAAATTTGAATTTTAAAAAGAGAAAGTCTTACCTTTTATTACAAAGTCATAAACCAGCTTCTCTCACAGTTCAGACAGCTGTGAGACAAAAAGTCAACCATTCCACCTGAGCGCAAACAACAACAGAACAAACAGCCAGCAGAGGACTGCTCTCCTCCGGGCTTGACTTTGAGTTTAAGGAGCACCGCTACGGGCCAGGTCTGCGCTGCGGCCGCTCTGAGCCTCTGAGCTCCGCCGGAATGTAGAGCTGAGGGCTCCGGMTCTCACAGGGGGAACTCCTCCCCCAGTCCCTCCGCCCCTCCCTCCGCCACCATAACAAATTGATACCCACCTCATTAACGTCACACCCGCGTCAGAGCGYTGAGCTGGGCGCGAGGCAAGGCTGGAACCGAGCGCGAGCCGCGGGTTGCGTGGCAACCGAGCGGCTGGGGCGTGCGGTGACGCGAGTGCTGATGGAGAGGGTTGCTTGGAGATGGGGACGGTGACGTCAGTCGTAGAGATGTGTCACCACGTGATACTTCTTCCCTCCGCCGGGCTGTGTGCTGCTGGCGGGGCTGCCTCGCGCTCACTTGGAGAGAGAAAGAGAGAGAGAGAGAGGAAGAGCGCGTGCGGTTTCAGCACCAGGAACAGAAACAGAAAGCTTCTGGTGATCGTCACGCAGAAGGATTTACTGTTTACTGAACCATTGTTTCACCCTACTCCGCCTTAAAATACAACTTCAGATTAGCCTAAATAGCATTATAAGTAAATTTATACAAAATGTATTCCATCTAAACTAGCCTAATATTAGCTAAGCTACTTTAGCTTTGCCCATAAAATCAAACAGCCAAGTTAAATACTTGAAAAAAATGTTCCTATGTATATGCATGCATGTGCATACATGGCCTAAACATGTACACGCATCACACATGTGCATGCTTACCTGCATGTATACACAAGTATGTATGTAATTATGCATACACATGTACATTCCCAATGCAAAAATGCTATTTAAAAATATATTTTTTCTTTTAAAATGTGCCAAAGCAGCTACTTATTAGACTTTATAATAGTGTAAGTTAAGAAAAAAATGGCATTATTTTTGATTTTAAAAAAAGAAACTACTATAAAAAGTGAAAAACAAAAAGCTGCTCTTCTCRTTATGGTCATCATGGTAAACCGAGTCTATGATGACTCACCTGCGTCTCTCACTCCCTGACTGCAACATGAAGAAGAAGCAGACAAAAATGTAGACTGAAAGTRAGTTTTAAATAAATCAGTTGCTATGCAAAAACTTTGATTTAAAAAATTTGACTTTTGACAGCCACACATGATTTAAACTAAAGTATATGGAAACACTTTGTATTCTGGGGAGATTTGAAGGAGAAAAATAACACAAACCCAATAACCGTGAGCAATTTACTGCGTAAATAAGAACTAAAAACATTTGTTTTGTAATTTATAAGTAAGCACTGTGTGGGGGAACACTACCATTTTATTTGTGACTAAATATTACTGGTAATTTGATTCACTGTCTCAGTCACATTCAGATGCATCGCTGCACAAAGTAGCATTTCAGTAAACAGCTGGTCCACGAGGGGCACCTGAGCTGCTTTAAACGTCTCAGTTCAGTGTTTTGTTTTTATCTCCAGAGGTCAGGCACCTCCTGAGGGGTTCATCAAAAATAACCAGGGTTATGACATGATTAATGTGGCAAGGGGGAAAAAAAGCCTTCTGACAGATTTACAACAGTAAAAAATGTGAAAAAGTTTGTCCATTTTGCTACAAAAACCCCCAGAAATGACCAGTTTCACACAGAACTAAAGAGGACTTTTATGGTGTTTTTTCAGTTTATTATAGTTTGCAGGAATTTGCTTATGTAACACAAAGGGGGTGCATGCACCTGTCTCGTAAATTTTTAATGGTTGTTACACTTTTGTGATGGCCATAAAGTGTCGTAGTTACATCCAAAAGCTCACTTCAGATGTTTTTAGAGACTCTAAAATGATTTGGTTTACAGAGAACTTTATAACTGACTCAGGTTCTGCAAAGGTGTAAAACAAGCCCAAATCATCAGTCCTCTACCGCCATGTTTGATAGTTGTGAAAAGTTTGTGTTGATGTGTTTGCTGTCATAAAGGAGCTAAAGGTTGTGTCGTATTGACTGTAATATTTAATGCTGTTTGTCTCAGGCTGTGTTTAGAGAGATCATAAAAAGACAACAGTGGAAATTATGTAAGACTGCACGACGGGCACAGAATAAAAAGTCACTGTAAACATCAGTGCGTCCCTGCCTGAGTCTCGAATGGTAAAGGAATGCAAATGGCATGCAAAGCGTCTCAACTCAAAGGTCGCACAATATTTAGCTGCACGCTGACAAATAAACCACATGGCCCCCTCTGCTCTCACTTATCTCCTAACCAAATGTGCTGCTGTTTGAATTTGCGGCTCACTTGCATGTCTGCAGTTGGTTCCTGTGTACACACACACACACACACACACACACACACACACACACACACACACACACAC